GTCCTACGTGGAAACTGGCCCCCAAATACCTGCTCCCCCAGGAAGGGCCCCTGCCCGTCGCCTGATGCCCGCACTGACCAGGCCTGCTGCGATGGGCTTTCGTTGCAGACTTCCCCGCCCCCTTCACCTGGGCCACAGGCTACTTTGCCATGGTGGTGGGCGCAGGCATGACCTTCGTTGTCCAGAGCAGTTCCGTGTTCACCTCGGCCATGACCCCGCTCATTGGTGAGTGCCCATGCTGGGGTGGGGTTGAAGGGGGGAGCTGAGGAGGATAGTGTAACCTCTCCCTCTGTCCCCCAGGCCTGGGTGTGATCAGCATCGAGCGGGCCTATCCCCTCACACTGGGCTCCAATATCGGCACCACCACCACCGCCATCCTGGCTGCTCTGGCTAGCCCCAGGGAGAAGCTGTCTAGCGCCTTCCAGGTGCGGGGAGGTGGGGGTGGGGGTGGTGGGCAGAGGCAGAAACAGGCCTGGTACTGTGGCTTGGGACCTGGTTGAGGGAGTTACAACATGTCACAAATATTTGTTGACTGCTTACTGGGTGCCACCCACTATGCTAATTTCTATGGAAACCACTGTAAGCAAAGTAGTCACGGTGCCACCCTCCAGACCTCAGCGTCTATTAAAAAAAAAAAAAGTTGCCTTTGAGTCGATTCTGACTCATGGTGACCACATGTTTGCCAGCGTAGGAGTGTGCTCCCTAGGGATTTCAGTGGTTGATTTTTCAGAAGTAGATCACCAGGCCTTTCTCCTGCGGCACCTCTGGGTGGGTCAAACCTCCAACCTTTCAGTTAGCAGCTAAGCACATTAACTGTTTGCACCACTCAAAGAGATGTTACACAGTCATGCCAATAAACAAGCGCATGCCTGACTGACATTATGAAGAAGAGGTGCTATAGGAGGGGGCCTGGCCCAGTCTGGCAGATCAAGGATGAGCAGAGTAGGGGTTAACTAAGAGATGGGGAACAGCCCCTTAGGCAAGGGACGGGATCTAGGGGCAAGGGTGTAACTAACAAGGAAGGGGCAGGTGGGTGCAGGTCAGACGTCAGCCCTAGGTAGGGACTTCCTGCTGCTGAGACTGTGTAGGCCTCTATTATCTATTCCACCTTGACCTGACTCAGGAACTGGAGCCTGTGCCCACCTCGGTCCTCCACTCACTTCTCTGCAGATTGCCCTCTGCCACTTCTTCTTCAACATCTCAGGCATTCTGCTGTGGTATCCGGTACCCTTCACGCGCCTGCCCATCCGCATGGCCAAGGCACTGGGCAAACGTACCGCCAAGTACCGCTGGTTCGCTGTTCTCTATCTTCTCGTGTGCTTCCTGCTGCTACCCTTGCTTGTGTTCAGTATCTCCATGGCAGGCTGGCAGGCCATGGTGGGTGTGGGTGCACCCTTCGGGGCCCTGCTGGCCTTCGTGGGGCTCGTCAGCTTCCTGCAGAGGCACAGCCCTGGGCGCCTGCCCAAGTGGTTGCAGACGTGGGACTTTCTGCCACGCTGGATGCATTCCCTAAAGCCCCTGGACCGCTTCATCACGCGTGCCACCTTGTGCTGTGCCGGACCTGAGCCCCGCTCACCCTTGACGCCTGCCAGGGTCTTCCTGGAGGAGCTGCCCCCTGCCACACCCTCTCCTCGCCTGGCGCTGCCTACTCACCACACTGCCACCCACCTCTAGGAGGGGAACCTTCGCACAGTACCCAGGGTGGATGAGCAGAGAGGCGTGTGCCAGTATGGGCGTGCATCTGTCCTTATGCAGGTCCACAGAGGTCTGGGCTTGTGGGTGAGCGTGTGCCTGTGGGCATATTTGGGGTGAATCTGTGCCATTGTACAGGAGTGTGGGTGCTTGTATTTGTGTACATGTGAGCTACCCTATGCATGTGCACAGCTGCACCTGCAGGAGCGGGATGCGTGTTGTAGGGCACCTGGAGATAATTTCCAGTCCCTTGTACAGGTGAATGGAGGCCTGTGCGGTGCCCTCATGTACACACAACAGGGCTGGGCAGCAGTCAGGGCTGGTCTGAGTATGTGACTGTGGGGTTGTTTGCTTGTGCATACATGTGGGTGCCTGAGTCACTGACTGAATTCTCTGAGCCTTCCTTCCTCCATGATACCATTTCTTCTCACCCTCATCCAGATTTTCTGCACTACTGGCTACAACCCCCTTCCTGAACACCGCCTGACGAAAAAATAAAAATAATTGAACTCTCATCATGCACTTGGGAGTCTTTTTGCTCTCCACCTACAGAGGAGGGCAAGACGTGGCTGGGGGTCCAGCAGCACCCTCTCCCCTTTCAAAGACACCCTGCAACAATAGCCAGCCCTGTCTGGCCAGTGCAGTCTTAGTCTTGCAGGATTGGACCCTGCAAGCTCTCCCCAGCTCTCCACCTGACCTGCCTTAACAAGGCCAATCCCCAATCAAACTCCCCACAAGCCCCTACAGCCTGGGCCAACCCAAGGCAAGTGTAAGGACTGTCTGCTCACTTCCACTCCTGATTCCCACCAGGCTAGACCTCCCTGGTCTCTCCTTGCCCTCTAAACTCACTTCCCTCACTCACCCACTGCCCCAGAAAATGAATGATAGGTGGGGGCTTGTCAGGGCCACTGGAGGAAGGGGGTGAGGAGTGTGATGGGCTAAAGAGGCTGATCTCTGGGTCCCAGTATAAAGGGGCAGAGACCAGACACCCTCTCATCCGACTCTGGGCCTCACCTAAACCCAGCCAAGCTCTTCAGTTCCCTCTCCATGGGGCCCTGGATCTGAGGCCTGCAGAGGAAGGGTCAAGGGGTGGGGATTCCAAAGCTCCTGCCTCTGGTCCAGGGACTCCTCTTGAGGAGGAGGGGGGCAGGATGGCTGTAGGATCCCAGACCCAGAGTGTAATGGTCTTGGACACGTGCCCTCCAGATGGGGTCTCCTCCTCTGAGGCAGGTCGGGAGAGATGCAGGGGCCTGGGAGCCTCAGGTCAGCTCTCCCAGCTACAGCCCTGCCACGTCATCCCCTCACAACACTTGCTAGTGCTTCCTTCCGCCAGGTGGAAGGGGTGGGAAGTACACTAGCCTCCAGGCAGACTCCCTACTCCACAGGCTCTAGCAGGTGTGTATGTGGGGAGAGGTCCAGGGGAAGATGGGGAGACAGATGGGACTCCTTTTAATGTTTGTCATGCACAGACGTGCCCGAATTTTTGTGGGAAAAGGCACTACGGCCTGGGTTAGAGAGTGTGAGGCGAAGACCCACGCCCTTGGACCCTTCCTCAGCTGGAGCACCCCTAGGGCCCTGGGGAGGAGCTGAAGAGCAGGAGTCAGGCCAGGCATCTCAGCAGGGCACCCAGGAACGGGAGGGCAGGACCTAGGGCACACGAGGCTGGGCAGCACCTGAACTCATAATCCCAGCCCCACTAGGCAATCCCTCTGCAAGGATCGCCCCTTCACTGGTTTCTCATCGCAACTCTCCACGTGCAACGAGAGGATGAGCCAACGCCGCGCCGAGATTAGTTTATTCCGGCCTGGCTGCCTAGCTGCGTGCTGGCTGCCTCGCTACGTGCCCTGCGTGCGCAGGCCGCGGATCAGATCGTGCACTGTCTTGTTGAGGATGCCCCCGTGCACACCGCGCCGGCCCATGAGCACGAGGAGCGCGCGTGGCGTGTGGCCCACGCAGACAGCGCGCCCGTCCCGGCACTTGGTACGCGCATCTAGCACGCCGTCGTCCTCCGCCAGCAAGTGGTCGCGGATGACGCAGCAGCGGCGGCCCCCCACGCTCAGGCCAGTCTTGAGGAAGGTGTGCCGGTCGGGCCCGATGAGCACGCCCACCTCCTGCGGTGAGATGGCTGCCAGAAGGCCCCCTGGCCGTGATGCCCACACGCAGCGATTGTCCGAGTGGCCTACGATGGCCACGTCGTCGATGCGCTGGTCCCGCAGCACCGCACTGATATAGCCCTTCCAGTCCCCCATCCTAGCTGAGTGCGTCTTCTGCCTTGCGCTTCCAAGCGATGTGCGGCTGCGCATAGTGCCTGGAACGCGACCGGAGGCGCTGTGACATAGTGCGGAGGCTGTGACGTGAAGGCCGGCGATATCACGGGCTGGAGAATGCATGTGAGGGTGAGGGGAAGGCGTTCGCATCTTATCCCTGGTGACGTTCTAAAGTTAGCATGTAGAAGGGAATTGCTTAAGAGTCCAACTTAAATGACCCACAAAGCCCAGTACACATAGGTTTAAGAACAAAAAGCGAGGTGCCGAGGTCTGGGCGGCAAACAGGACCCCTCTCCCTCAAAGGGTGCCATTCAACCCCTAGATGGTGGTTCTCAAATGTTACCAAGCATTAGAATCCCCTGGAAGGCTGTGAAATAGATTGCTAGGCCCCACCCTGGCCCGAAATTTTGCATCTCTATCAAGTTTCCTGTTGTAGCTGCTGCTGGTCCGGTGAGCGCACTTTGAGACCCTCTGCCCATGTGGGTTGGGGAAGGTGGTATTCCAAGGCGCCAGCCCTCAGGGTCCACATCATTGTTTTAACGTTAAAAACCAAACCAAACCAAACCAAACCCATTGCCATCGAGTGGATTCTGACTTACAGTGACTCTGTGGAACAGAGTAGAACTGCCCCACAGGGTTTCCAAGGCTGTAAATCTTTATGGAAGCGGACTGCCACATCTTTCTCCGTGGAGCCAGCTGGTGAGTTCTAAGCGGCTGATGGGTTAGAGGCTAGAGGCGGCTGATGGGTTTGAACCACCAACCTTTCGGTTAGCAGCCGAGCACTTAACCACTGCGCAGCCAGGGCTTCTGTTTTAACATTAAGCATTTCTAACAACGGTTCTCAACCTCGACTGCACAGGGAAATCTGAGGAGTTTTTAAAACATACCACTCCCTAGGACCCATCCTTAGAGATACTGATTTAATTGGTCTGGGGAGGATCTTGTGCATAGATATTCTCCCCCGATGATTCTGAAGTACAACCAAGGCTGAGAACCGCTGCTCTGTAAACTTAAAATGTGAACGTGTCTTATGAGGAATAATATGAGGAGGGCTTGGTACACAGCATGGCTCAATAAACGTTAGCTAGCGTGAACCTAAATCTTGCATGATGAGACCTCACAGACCCCGCTCTCTGAAGGGCTGAGAAGTCGTGCACAGGTTTTCTGCCTTGGCATTTCCGAGTGGGATCCCTGAAGGGCTGCTCCTCTCAAGCATTTTCCAAGCACTTTATTGAGTACATACGCCACGCCTGGCTCAGGCTGGAGGCTCCAGGAGGAATGGGACGCAATCCTTAACGGCCATCAGGGAACCCAGCCATCCTCCCACAACTGGACCACACAGGAGAAAAAGACGCGTCCCTGGGAGGTCAGGAAGCAGTGTGCTTCTGGATCCAGGCCAGGTAGCTGGCCACATCGGTGTATACGCCGGGCTTGTAGCGGTCGCCGCACCCCGAGCCCCAGCTGACGACACCCCGCAGGACGAGCCGGTGCTCCATGGCCTGGTCCTCACACACCAGCGGGCCCCCGGAGTCACCCTGGGTCGGGGACACGGAGCTCAGCACCCTCTGCCTGGGGCAGGACCTGGCGGGCTGAAAGGAGAGCGCCAGTCCCACCCAAGAACTCACCTGGCAAGCATCCGTTCCCCCCTCTAGGAAACCGGCGCAGAGCATGCCGGGGGCGAGGTGGGTTCCGTGCACGTCGGGGGCAGAGCAGCGCTCCCAGGGGATGAGCGGCACCTGCGCCTCCTGCAGGAAGCTGGAATATTCCTCCGACCCTGCAGACAGAGAGCTCTTTCCTCGTCACACCCCACCCCACTCCAGTCGCTGCCTGGGCGATGCAACCGGCTGCGCCAGGCGCTTCCAGACTCACTAACCTCCTCCCTCCCTCCCAGCAACCTGGAGACGAAGGGAGTTGCCATTAACTCCATTTTAGATGAGGAAACTAAGGCCCAGAGAGGAGCCGGGATTTGAAAGGGCAGGACGGAAGTACCCGGGATTTGAATGAGTGGGATGCTTTGACACCCCACCCCCACCCAGCGTCTCAGCACCTTGTTCCCAAATTAGTCCACTAGACCGCGGGCTGCTCCAGTGCCGGGCCAGCGATAATCAGCCCTTGCAGCCCTGTGCCAGATTAAACCAAGAGAAAATGCGATTCTCCCTGCAACCCCAGGAGATTTTTGAGACCCCCGTAGTGAATCCCAGACCCTGGGAGGAGCGGACCGCACAGACCAGGGCTCTGCACGTTCTCACAAACCACCAGACCGGCGCCACCTGCCCAGTAGGCACCCTGGACGGTACCAAAGTTGTGGGCTTCTCCGGCTTATCCGGAGCCAGAGTCTCCCGCCCCGAGCCGTTCTGCCTACCCTCGAACTGGTGGCCCCAGCCGGCCACCTCGCAGAGCGCAGCCTCGGTCTCGGCAGGTCGCGCGGCGCCGCTCGGCAGGCACACGGGCTGGACGTAGGGCGACGGACGCGCGCAGCTTCCGTCCGCGCTCTCCTGCAGGCGCAGCAGGGCTAAGCCCGGCGGGGAGGAATGTGAGGTGGGGACGTCAGGGCCCGGGCCTTCCCCACCCTTTCCCCGGCCCCGCGGGGACACCCCACGCACCCAGGTCGTGCTGGTAGGTGGTGGGCGAGAAGGCCTCGTGCAGACGGTAGGCGCGCACGGTCAGCGTCTGGCACTGCTCACAGCTCTGGTTGTGGCGGTCCTGCCCCAGCACCACCGTCAGCTCCTCCGGGGCCGGCCTGCGGGCGGGGTGGGGGAGAGGACGCGCGCTCAGAGCTGGCCAAGGGCATCGGCGGCGGTTTTTGGCGGGGGGAGTGCTGCTGCTGGGGAGCTTTGGAGGGAAGCGGGAGAGGGCGCGGGGGAGGGAGTCGCGTGCCATCTGGGCCCGCAGGAGAGAGGAGCTAGTCCAGGTCCGGGCGCTGGGCGAGCGGTACTCGCCGGTTCTGCAAGCAGTGAGCCGCGGTCAGCACCCAGCAGGAAGCAATGAGGCTACCAGCGCAGAAACTATCTCCCCAGTACAGCGCGACGATGTAGGGGTGCGCTCCAGGCATCGCTACCAGTCCCCCGACAATGCGGCTCAGCTGCTTCCGGAGCCGCTTCCCGCAGGCCGCCGGGCCCGCGGTGGGTAGTGGAGTCTGCTGCTCGGGTGCCGCGTGCGAGGCTGTGGAGGGAGCCCGGGCTGAGGACTGGGAGACCCACCGCCGGCCGAATCCCGCTCCCCAGGCCCCTCTGGGCTCGAACTTCCCGCCCGGCCCCGCCCCACCTACTTGGGGTCTGGGACTGAGGCAGGCTCTGGATGGTGGGGTGAGGGCCTTGCAAGGTCGAAGGCTGGGGCAAGGGCAGGTCTTGGCCCTCCGGGGAGACCCGGGTCGGAGGGGAAAGCGGGGGCGCGGCTCCGGATGGGGCCTGGCACCGTGTCAAGTGGCAGTACTCCCAGCTCAGCCGGTCGCCGCTCAACACGAAGCACCACGGGCGGGTGTCATTGTCCGGGTTCCTGCAGCCACAAGACTGGGGCGCTGTTAGAGTGCGGGGAGCTCTCGAGGACCCCGGGGCGGATGGGGATGCCCCGCTACGCCCCACCGAGCGCACCGGCAGAAAGCGTGGTGGCCCAGTCCCCGTTTCAGCTTTTCCTCTTCAGACAAGTGCCGGTAGGTGGCCTCCGAAGCCCACGGCTGGCAGGACGCTCCCGAGCGCGTGGTCCCGGCGGTGCCGCGGTAGCTGAGCCCGCGGCCTTTGTAGCAATTCGCCTCAGTGTCTGAGGAGAGAGGGAGATCCTTGCAGCCAAGGGGGTTGTGTTGTGTCCCCGTCGCCCTTCCTGTGGTCCTTCTAACAAGCCCTTCCCACGTGAGGCGGGGCTTCTCCTGCCCCAAGACTCTGACTTACCCACATCGCAGGTGGGTCCCGCGTAGCCTGCGGGGCAACGGCACAGGGTACCGCCCTCCGCCTCCAGGCAGCGGCCCCCGTTGAGGCACGGATTGATGCGGCAGGCTGGAGGAAGGAGCGAGTTGAGCCCCCCTGGGTCTGGAGAACCCGCAGAAAGCGCCCCCTCCCCTGCCTCACCACCCAGTCTCCAGCCGGCTTCTCCTCCAGACCTTTGTCCCCCCCTCCCCGGCCAGATCCGGCCCAGTCCGCTCACCCTGGCTGGGCAGTGGCTTGCAGTGGAAATTGGGACCCTTGCAGTGGCACTTGTCCACGCCTGCCGGCCCAAGCCTATGCCACATCTCATCCTCGTGGAAGAAGCGCAGAAGCTGAGGCTCAAAGCACTTCTCTGGGGACAAAGGGGGCAGTGGTCTCAGAAGAGGCGGGATCATGCCGAGTCTGGGCCAGGCATGGTGTCCAGGTACCCAGGGACTGCTTCAGTAGGCCCAGCTGACCCTGCTCCCCACCACCATCCCCTGGCCCTGGTCATCCCCTTACCTCTCTTGCAGTGCTTCCCGGTTAGGTGCTCTGGACAGACGCAGTGTGGGCCACTGGGCATGTTCACACAGGTCCCTCCCCTCTGGCAGGGGCTGTGTTTGCTGCAGTGGTCTGAGAGAAGGACACAGCCCAAGGAAGAGTGGGGAGCCTGAGTCAGACAAATGAGTGCCAAGTCCTGACCTCAACCTGCCTGTCTTGTGACCTTGGTACTCCAGGTTTCCGAGCTTTAGTTTATCCACCTGCAAAATGGGGCCAACCCCCCCTAGAACTCTCGCTCTGGACTTCTGAGAGGTGTTGTGGAGGGAGGCAAGGGAATGGGCCTAGAATCCCAGGAGTAGGGGGTCTGACAATACCCAGGAGAGTCACTAGCGGGGAGGAGAGGGCTCTGGGCCACCTCAGAGGCTGTGTGCAGCACCTTTCACTTTCTTAGGCGCCAGGCAGTATCCCCACCGCTGGTCCTGCTCGAAGTTGGGGGTGGTAGCACACCTGTAGAAAGAGATGAGGCCTCCCTGCTGGACCCAGGGGGCTGGTCTGCCCTCCCCTATCATGGCCCCTCTCTCCAAGCAAGGTTCCTTGGTCAGAGGCTGCGCAGAGTCCATATCTCCCAGGCCCCTGCTCCAACCCCTTCTGGGCGGTCTTACCAGGACTGGGGGCCTGGCCGGCCCCTGTGGATGCATCTGTAGTGCAGCTGCCTGTGGTACTGGAAGGGGAAGTGGCAAGGCTCCCCAGTGACCGTGAGAACTGCAGGGATAACGCACTCCCTGAGAAACTGCCCTATGCCCAACTGCCCAGAGTGCCCAGGCACCACCCTTAGGGTCTAGGTGGAGAAAGGATGGGCCCTGTAAAAGGTCATTGTGCAGTCAAGACAGTACTATGCTTCAGAAGGCAGCGTCCTAGAGTTAACAGTTGACATAGACTGCTGACTCCACCTACTAGCTGTGTGACCTTGGGCAAGTCTGCAGCCCCAGGGCCTAGAAGAGAGCTTGCCACAGAGTTTTTTTAAAAAAAAAAAGTTGCTGTCAAGTGGATTTTGAACCATAGTGACTCCATGTGGAAGCAGATCACCAGACCTTTCTTTTGAGGCACCTCTGGGTGAATTCAAACCACCAACCTTTCAGTTAGTAGCCAAGCACTTAACCATTTGCACCAGCCAGGGACTCCCTGCCACACAGTATGCACTTAATAAATACTTGTTGAATGTTGAAATCACTTAACCACTCTGAGCCTTGGTTTCCTCATCTATAAAATGGCAATGATAATGGTATCTACTTCGGAGGAATGTTGTTTAAGGCTTAAACAAGATGATTCCTGTAAAGCACTTAGCACTGTGCCTGGCACACAGTACATGCTTAATAAACATTCGCTGCTATTTTATTGTTAAAGGCATAGTGACACTTGCTGAGGGACAGGCCAGGCCAGGACAGTAAAGGGAATGGGTGATTCTGAGGAAGGAGAGGGCTGGGAAGACTTCTTGGAAAGAGAAAAGTCTGAGATGGACCTTCAAGATGCAAATGGGATGGACAGAGAAGAGGGCCCCCTAGTAGCCGGGGCAAGGACAGGGCAGCAAGGTCGGTTCAGGAAGGAGTGAGGAGAGCAGTTTGGCTGGGTGTGAGGGTAATGAGAAGAGGAGGCTGAGGACATCCAGAGTCAGATTGTGCTGGCCTCAAATGCCATGGGAAGGGGCTTGGACTTGACCCCACCAGGGCAGGCTCAGCTAGGGCAGGCCTGGAGTCCACCAAGTTCACAAGCCCTGGCTCATTGAACACTCTAGATAAATATTCAGTGCCTGGAAGAATGAAGGCGATGGAGAGCTATGGCAGGATTTGAGCAGAGGTAAGATGGCAGACACCCCACCCCC